ATTTGTCCTTTCGCGGAAAGCAATAGTCGATGCGTTAGCGTACTCCGGTATCGGCGTTTGTGGATGGAGTGGGTGGCTGCAGTGCTGTATAATAATTCGTTGTACCTATAGTCGTAGTTAGACCCACTGTAACGGAGTTCAGCTCAGTCGAGGTCGAAATCCCCGTTTGGGCGAGGGATTTCACTATCATCAGTATCGGATGCTGACATAGTGAGATTGAAATTCACAAATAAAGCCCTTAACCTAATAAGCTAAACAACATTTTGTACCGATCCGTACCTCAGGTAGTAGATCAGCAAGCGAATACATGGCACATTCGATGGTATCAGTGTTTTGTCAGCACCGGCCCGAATTGACTCAGCGCATATCCTCCATCGTCGACTCACTTGGCCCAAGCTTCAAACGGGAATTTACTTCCCATTACTTCCCATCGATCTTTCCCGAACCACTACAACGGCTATGAGAGCCATGCCATATGTTCATACATTGTAACATACATATGGTTTGAGCGTATCCAAGATAATTTGTTGTCAAGAATATGTTGGTAAACCTAGTTGAGATTGTGAACAACCCAGTTTGGCGAGTAGCATAGAGAGGGTGAGTCCAAACTCCAAAGGGTTTGTCTTTTTTAAACAAAAAAAAAGAAGCTATTTTGTGATTTGTCAGCATGGCGATCGAACAAACGGACAAAAAGAGCAAACAAGAACACAAGAAAAAACAAAGAAAAACAAAGTATTTTTTAGATCAATTTTGCTGCTTTTGGAAATTGGAGGGAAATTCAACATTCTCTCACTCGAGTCTCAACTCTTCAAGTCTCAAGTCTTAAGTCTCAAGAGTCTCAACTCTAAAGAAGTGTCATCACCGTCAACTGTCAAGTCATTTAGAAGCAGTCTACATATTTAAAATGAATAAATAAATATTTTTCAGTGCCAACTGTGTGAGCCGTCAGGCTTGAATATGTAAATAGTGAATATCCTGTTGTTTTTATTTTTTATGTGTTTTTTTTAGGCGGTTCGGATATGCTACTTTGGTTTAGCCCCCCCACTCTGGGTTTTGGGACTTCGAGTGCATTTGTGACTTTTAACTTCAGATGCATTTTCGACATATATGGGCCTGTTTTGGACTGCCACACTAAAACAATTGCGTAAAATATTGACGCAGTTCCGAGTTCGGTATTTAAAACTGATGACTATAGAGGCTTTCCGTTGTTGGGTTCATTTTGGGGCGAATTTGGCTTCATATTGGCTTTTAGTTGGCTTCAATTTGGGTTCATGTTGGCTTCATGTTGGCTTCGTATTGGCTTCATATTGGCTTCATATTGGTTTCATATTGGCTTTGAATTGGCTTCATATTGGCTTTTAGTTGGATTCATAGAAGTATTGAGAATTTGAGACCCAATCTGGCCTGAAACCCTATGGATACAAATAGGGGTCAGGACAAAATAATAAGTCAAAAGTCCCCCCCCCCCCCCTTGTTTTCGGACCCTCTCCGGTGGCTAAACCAAAGTAGCACATCCGAACCCTAAACCCTAAATCCTAAACCCTAAACCCGCCATATACAAAAAGAAAACATCATGTAAATACAACAAAAAGCAAGAACCATTTTTTTGCTTTTTGTTTTTAAAAACGAAACAAAAACAAATGGAGAGTAAAATAGACCGAGTCACCAGTCACCACTCGCGTCGACCACCTTCTAGAAAAACAGATTTAAAAAATAAATAAATAGATCTGTTTTTCTAGAAGGCTATGATTTTATTTATTTATACAGCTTCTATGAAAATTGAAATGCTGATCAGGTGCTGGAAACAAAATGTTTTGTTTTGGTTTTGGGCGGTTCGAATGTGCTACTTTGTTGTAAAAAAGGGTCCACCCAGCCCCCAGCCCTGGATTTTTTTGGGCTTTTGGTGCATTTTGGATATAGAAATGTGTAGTACATATATGGCTTTTTCTGACCCCTGTGCTAGCCAAAGATTAGTATCAAGTGATATAATTATTTGTTGGCGAGCCTTTCGTCCTCACAGATGCGCCGTTTATACTGCCCATTTATGTACTGTGAAGTATATAGGATTGCGGTACAAGTACGCGAAACCGTACTGTGGTCGCACTTTGTACAATTTGTAAGGGCCGAGGAGGGGGTCCATACATAGGTCAAGTCAGATATATAATTTATAAATCCCCCCTGTTTTTTTAGTAGGCTATGCCTCCCCCCCCCCTTTTAGGGCCAAAATAAACCCTAAAACAAAGTTGCACATTCGAAAGTCCGAAACGCCTGATGTATTTTATATATATATAGAAATAAAACACCGCTGACGTCGGTGAGAAACTCAAAGCTCTGAAAAGACGGGGAATTGAAAATTTTATTTTTGGGGGTTCGTTCCCTTATTTGTCTTATTTGTTTTGCGAAAGCGCGCCCCACGGTTAAATTGCAACTTCCATTTTGGTTCAAGTTTGGGTCCCGATATCCAATTTCTTTTTGGTTGTTGTTGGGTGTGTGTGTGGGGGGGGTTGTTCGACTGTTCGTTTCTATTGCGTTAATTTTGAATTTTGGGTTTTTGTACCCTTATTTCTTTTGGGAAAGCGCGCCCCATGGTTTTTTAAAAGTGCAACTTCAATTTTGGTTCACGTTTCGGTCCAGATTTCCAATTATGTTGTTGTTGTTGTTGGGGGGCGGGGGCGGGAAGCCCCCATTAACCGTATCTCTGCTACCGCTGGTCTCATATCGTGTTTCTTGTATTGGGCCTTTCTATATTCATGTATAGGGTCTAAAATGGGCATAAAAAGCTTCACTTTATTCTCTATTTGGAATAAATAAGTTCTGAGGGACTTTATAACTGAAGCTTTTAGTGATAAATACATAAAGTGTATGACTGTACATATTTTAAAATAAACCCTGACCCATAGTCCCACATAGACCTACAGTCTACAGGCTACAGTTATCCAAATTCCAAGCCATCACCACTTCACCCCAGTTCACCACATTAGCAGGTGTAGATAAATAAACGCGTGGGACTCATCCGTTGGCTGAGTACTTAAACACCGCGTAGTATGAGTGGCTCCTGCTTTTGAATAAAATAAATATCCCACAGGAGTAGCCATTAAGCTTAGACAATTTCAAAGGAGTAAACATGTAGTTCAGTTCTAGAGAGGGAGTTAGCGACGTAATATTATAAAAGAAAATAAAAAAAGAAACAAAGTGCCCCGACCTTGATGACATTTTTTCTTTCTAAAACGATACACAAGGCATTGTTCGCCGTCCGGTGACTCCGGCACGGCGCCTGGCGGCAGCATGTCAAGAGAGAGAAGACATGACTGTCGCGCGGCCATATTTACATAAATAGTTCGATCAGGCATATTATTATTTTTCTTCTCTACTAGAGGGTCATGACTGTCGATTACGGTTTAACCCCACCTGCGGACCTGCCACCAGCCCACCACCCCAATGGTCACTGCAGCACCTATACACGTTTGTTTTTGAAAAATATATATACTGTGCAGCAGAAAAGGGTGCAAGGCGCAAAGTTCATTATGCGGATATTTATTTTATTTTAAAAAGTCTCTTTCGTTTAGGTTTAGCCCTCGCATTTTATTTTTAGCTCTATTACACATCAATTGTTGTGGTATTTATTTTTATTATTTGACAAATACTTGCTCATATTTTATAGCGATACATTTCATAATTTTTTACGCGAGTCCATATTTTCTTCATAATTTCAAAATATTGAAGAAATTTTTAATTTCATTTTTCAGTATTTCAAAATTTTAATATTTTGTACATTGTCAATTCTGTTGCTTTTGCCAATTCCAAATTTTGCATTTTACGACGTAAAAATATTGAATCAGTATTTCATTTTGTTGTATATTTCTTTGAGAAAGAAAAAGAGGGTTACGCCTCTTTTTCATTTTGACAAAGAGATGAATGAAGAAAGAGCATTCTAATTTCGGAATACTCTTTGGCTTTTGAGCGCGAAAAAGCATATCACAAAACACACGTATTTTCAGTTTTCGACACTTCAATTTGTAAATATATAAATTATGTATATGTACATATTCTCCAGTTTTATTAAAACTTCATCTTGTATTTACGCTTTGTTGGGACTTTGGGTAGTATGTGCGGGGAAACAGGCTACGATGAGGAGTGCGAAGAATGCCAGTTGCAAGTAAGTAATCAGCATATGGCTCTCTTATTTATGGTCGCGAATATATGCGTACATATACGTAACCAACAGGCAAATATTCTACACAAGTGTCAAACAAACTGACGTGTATTCGAAACCGCCAAAATTTCATAACGATATATGGGATGCAATAGAAATGTTTGGAGATGAAGGTCCAATGAAATCCTTTTGTTTATTTTGGAACAACTCACGGATAATTTCTTGTTTGTTCGCGCTTTTGCCAACTGTTCAAATTGAAACACTCAGCGAATATTCATCCATAGTTTCAAATATAACCGACGCTATATTTCAAAATGTTCCGGAAATTTTCAGGTCCTATATTCCAAAAGAAGTACACAAAAATACTGAGCCATAATTTTTTAGACAGTATTTTCGTATATTTTTCCGAAGTTGGCAAAAGCGGCCTTAGTATTCTCTTAAAAGTTGACGGCTTGACACTACATACGGTTTGAATTTGTTACCGTTAAATATACGTATGGGTTTGGAGCCTGTGCGTGAAGACTGAAGCCTGGGGTCGCTGGATGCCTAATGCAGATCAAATAAAAGCTTGACGTGGATACACTGGTCCGCACTCCGCAGTCCACACAACATCGACAATTTGGTATTTTGAACACAGCTGTGATCTACTTATAGCACGAGATTGACTGGTAGGGTGGCCGCTGTATAGCAGCAGGTAGCATAGATTGCATACTCACAACTGCCACCCGAGGGCTGCTGTCGATTACCAAGCCAGATAGACACGAATAGATATATTCGCAGCATTAAACATATTGATATTTCAGGCCTCATAGAGTCAATACTCAATTTTAGCCAACTCGATGTCGATATGGAGGGCTCAGCTAATTTAGAGATAGTAGTTGATCCTAAAACATCTTCTACAGGGCAGAGTTCGATAGAGTTAGAGAGCGTTGGGAGTATGGTCACCAGTAGCAGTTCCGGACAAGTTCATGATAAACTTGACGTACTTAAATCTCCTCTAGTTGGCACTTTCGAAAGTACAAGTTGCCCAAAGAAGAATCAATTCTTCATTCCATCATCGGTAAGTGTTTTGAAATGACTGGTTCATTCTTCTATATAAATGTATGGTATATATGTTTGATGTCATTAACGTTGAGTACATGTATATGTGCAGTGCCCACCGACTGAGAAAACATTTGGTTTGTATCCTGTTTATACACTTGAATATGTCGTCTCTTGTTTATACATGTTCTTGTTTTAATCGTATGGTGTATGTAGGAAACAGTAAATGTTATGTGTGGAAAAACCATTATTTTGTTCTAAATTTACAGAGGCACGCACGTAAATGATCATAACTATACTATCTAGGAAGGGATGTTTGTGAATGGTATTGTCTTGCACCTATTCTAAAACGGTTTTTTGTGGCATCCGCATCGGGAGCGCTTTTCTCGCATATGAACACTTCGAATTCATCAACGTTTACTACGCGCATTCCAAGGACTTTATACTTGGGTCGTCGGAAATTGAATAACCACTACAATTTAACACGTGCCTTCTATAACTAATTAGGAACACTCCACTTTAATACAGAGATATTGACACGCGCAATACTATAAGCATTCTCTGTACTTACCTCAAATATATACTGTTACCCTTGCCTTAACCGCTCAGTATGCACATAGCCCACCAACTGACACGTATCTATATGTGCTTCTTTACGTAATTCTCTGCTACAATTGTCCTTTACAGCAATTATCACTCTTATGTATATACATGGACTTTAAAAACTATCACATGTCTATTCGCAACATTCACACCTCTCTTCTCCTACAGCCGCTGAAAATCTCGTCAGAGGACGAGATCCGGGACGCACACTGTTCCACCGAGTATGACACTCGGCAGAAATACAAAGCCCGGGTCGAAGAAGTGCGGAAGGCCTACAATTTATACTCCTGGGTGTTGGCCCTGATAGTATACCCCCTGGTGTTCCTGTTAGGCGCCCTATTCTACTGGCTGACCTCGTCCGCTGCAGACGAGGACATCGTTTTGCAGAAGGGCTATATGGCATTCACATACGTCTGTATCGCCCATGGGGGGACGGTCGTCTGCTTGCTGCTGCTCGTTGTATTCTTCGTCAAGTACTGGAACGAGCCCGAAGTTCGGAGCCGCCACCACGGGTTTATTGTCCACTACTGTGTGTGCGCCTTCCTGCTCGAGGTGTCTGTGCTGTGTACGGCTGCCTTGCTGCTGCAAATTACCAGTCTCAAGGGGTTGAACGCCGACGGTAAGACACTCAATGAAGTATGGGTACAGACCGTATTCGTCTCGCTAGTGTTCATGAACTTCTGTGCTCTGAGCACGATCGTTCCCATCGTCGCACGTATGCACTATATCTTCGAATTGACCGGCAATCGCAACATCGAGCCGCGCTACTGGAAAGTGCCGGTATTCTACTTAGTGCTGTATGTGTGTACATCATTTACGTCGTTGATGGCATGTAGGTATATCAAGGATGATTGTACCACCGCTGAAACGTACTCAGGCACAATCACGTTTCTGGTGGTGTGCATCGTACACTACTACGTGTGCGCGTGGAGAGCGCGATCGGCTCGAAAGAGCTTCAACGACTACTGGGGGAATGTGCGCATGTTCACGACCTTCACCATCTTCGTAGGCTCAGTTGTAAGCTTTGGAATGGTTGTAAATCACCCCCTAAATGTGATTATACTGTGGTTCTACGAGCCTCTGATGAAAGTTTGGATATTCGGGCTCGAGCACTTCGCGTTTGTGGCCGTTCGTGTGCTTAGTAGGCATTGGAAAGGCGTCGAAACACTCTCGAACATCGATATGACCGGCGATCACTACAGAGAAATGGCATATACTGAAGGGGTAGTAGGTTTGCTAAAGATCGAAGAGACGGTAAGTATGTGTGTACATGTATGATCATGTCAGGTCATGTACCAATACAGTTATATCAGTTGTTACGATTATTCAATACATCCCCTTCAAACTGTGGATTTTGACCTTATCTGCGCGTCTCATCGTATTTTCGTATACATAATATGCATTTACTTGGGTGGTCGTGCAAAGCTTGGGTATGTGTATGCATACAAACATCCTTTAGCGGACTTATAGATGCCGTGAATAGACGTTTGAATTATTATAATATACACACATATCGGATGAGCACGTTCCAAACTTTAATTCATTTTATGTGTGCGCTTTCGAATATTGATACCTGACTTCTAATAAGCGTATCTGTTGATATACAAAGCGTATCTGTTTATATACAAAGCGTATCTGTTTATCTATAAAGCGTATCTGTTTATATACAAAGCGAGTCTGTATGTATACAAGCGTATCTGTGTACATACTAGCCCAGCGCTGTTCTAGTTCGATTAGTTCACACGTTCCCTTCACAAAATTCACACGTTCAGTTGTGACTTATTGTTTCGCCTTTCATTACATTTGAACAGGCCGCGCTATTCTTAGAATTCTCGCGCAAAACAGTGCGCCAGGAGAGCATTTTGTTTCTCGTAGCTGTGCTGAAAGGTCGGACCTGTCGCACCAAGGCAGAGCAAGAGGCGACCCGCAAGCACATTCTAGAGACATACATAGCAACCCAAAGCGTGCATCAGGTAAACATCAGCCACCTGGAAAGGAATACAATCATCGGACGGCTCAGCAATAAGCAATACACAGAGAGCGTCCCCATGGAGGTTTTTGACGGTGCTTTCAGGGAGATTACCCTGCTGGTGACTTCTAACTTGCTGGCCACTTTTCTGGCCAGTGAGGAGTATCAGGCGTGGACGCAGAAAATGGACCGGGAGGACAAATTGGTGGCGTTGCTGAGGCAGAACCAGTTGCTGAATGTGTGTTGAATAGAAGAAGTACGCCAGCACATTTTGATCCAGTCTGGTACTATTGAATCAGTCACAGTGTGGTAATATTGAATCAGTCGCAGTCTGGTACTATTGAATCAGTCACATACTCTGACGAGGCACCAGTTTCTGACTGTACGCGGAGAGCGAACCGCGAGAGCAAGCTTGTGGCATTGCCGAAGCTTAACCAGGTACAGAATGTGTGCTGAAGAACATACAAGCAACACATTCGAACATAATAGGAGTGTGTGGTCAAGGCATAGCACCGGCGGCCCAATTAGCCCATTCGTGCATAGAATAAGATGGTTGAAGCCAAACCAGTTGCTGTATGTATACTCTGGGCGTGCAGCAAGTCCAAGTCCAGTCCATTCGACTATAGTCTTGGTCATGGGGGTGCCCAAAAGGACTTGGTGGGGTAGGGGGTTTTCGCGAACCCTGTAGCACATTCAAACTTCGCAGACAGAAACGCCGAAGTTGCACCGGGAGGGTAGCTATGTAGCTGTACTGTATCATTATCAGCAGCTGCATGGATGTCGACTGCAGGCACATTGCATCACTCCAACAGATACCCTATACCCCAAATGCTTAAATATGTTAAGCCCCAAATTGCAGGCAAAAGTACGCGATAAGTATTCACGTAAACGCCGCAGATCAAATCATAGACTGAAATTGGTTACAACATAAGAATATACAGACAATAATATCCGGGATATATATAAGCAGGCAAGGCCTGTAGGATGTCCGTCTTCATTTTGGGAACTATTCCGCTCTGACAAGTCAACAGAGAATATTAATTATAAAATACTGTTCGTCGTCGTTAGTTCATCAAACTAACCTACAAAATTATATAGATTAATGGTCCCCATCAGGTGCACCGTCTGTCTCAACAACATGAGGAAGGAGAGGGGTACATATACAGTTCGATTTTCAATCACTTGTAGTCCGTTCTGTACACTACGGTTTATTGACTATTGGTAAACAACCAGATGAAGCTCATACCTGAGCGACGGTGTAAGAAGAACCATAGCTTAGTTGTGTCCGACATAGAAGTATGTCGTATTTAAACCTAATAAATAATAATAATTCTAAGCCTTGTTCATCATTGACTATATATGGTATAAACCATCTTAGGTCTGATCGTGCCCTGTCCGGTTCTTATTAGGATAGGGCTCTAGGACCGAGACTTGTCCCGAACTAGGAAAGCGTCTTGTCCCCCCCCCAGTCCTTTCCATATTGCATTTCTGTCTGTCAGTCACGTTTTTTGCGCAGATAAGAATCCTCTTCATATTTCGCGTTTGGGAATCATTGGCCTAATAAAGGGTCCATATAGCATATAAGTTACACCTTCAATGTTTAACGCAGGGGTAAATAAAGGTTACAGCCTTTTATCGGGCCAAATCGATGCCAATAGTTCTTGATTTTGCGCTCGAAAAGTTGTCCTATCGTTGAGAAAATTGGGTCACAAAATCACTGACAGCCAGTCATAGTTCGCAAAGTATTTTGATGACGGACCGTCGGCACTTGCCACTCTACATAGTAACAGCATTTAAGTACACAAGGGATACAAAAGTAAATACCATGATATTGTTCCAGGCTGACATTTCATTCACATAAAACGAGTACAAGTTTCCAAAAGCTTCAGAATAAGCAAACACAATTCAGAAATCCAACCGCCTTATGGTACGGCCAAACATTACAATCGATCCGGAATAAGGGGCACGTACGTGAAGTAACCGTCTAAATTGGTCCCCTTGATCCATACATGGGGTGGTTTAATTTGGTACATGCGTGGGCTGGTTTGAGATGACGTTTGCTGGATTCCCAATTAACTGTTATAGACTAACATAACCCTGATACCACAATTCTAAGTCTACATCTCCCTCAAAGAAATCGGAACTATTGCATGAATGGAAGGATCAACTAGCGTGAACATGATGAATACTCAGCGCCCAAAAGATGATGAAATACGCCTGCATCAATGTCTTGCAGCATTGCAACAGTTTATTATCAACGGACTGAAATTATATTCTCTTACGCCAGTGTGCTCATATGCATCATCTCAACGTTACAACGATGACCCGGCGAATAACCTATTATGTATAGCATATCCATATGTGTATGGTATATATACATGTTAAAATCTGATACTATGTTCCTTTACTATGCTGCCTATGTGTGCGCATGTAGCAGCTGACTTCATGTAACGCCCATCACTTCAGAGCTATAGAGACGCGCATCAGTTAAGACTCAATCCGTGGTATATCGCGCCGAGGATACGTTACCTCATTTCGTGGTAGCTTAATACAGTCAGTCAGGAGGACAGTTGAACATATACAGTCAACTCAACCACCATGTCGCATGCAATGCCAGAGCGTAGGTGTTGCGATAGTCGAGGTTGCAAACCTAACCAACCCCCCCTCCCCCGGTTCCCCAGAAGTTCTATAGGACCTACACCGTACTCAAACATACACGTGTGTCTGTACATGACGTGTCCATTTCTCGGTCGAGGTAAATAGATGGTATGTGTGCACCGTATTGAGATACACGTGTGTCTATGATAACGGAAATCAGCCGAAATATAAATAAATCAATCTGATAATTTGATAATCCATCCAAACATTTGCGAATCTTACGAGCGATATGACTGAATGGCTCAGAGATGCCGTCGCTCCCAAGCCCGCACAGTCAACTCGTAGCACGTGAACATAATGGCTGTGTTCGGCAACACACGGCATAGATGTGCAGTCAAACCTGTGAATGTATAAAGAGATAGATTAAAACCTGTGAATGTATAAAGAGATGGGTTAAAACCTGTGAATGTATAAAGAGATGGGTTAAAACCTGTGAATGTATAGAGAGATAGGTTAGACCAAACCTGTGAATGTACAGAGAAATAGGTTAGACAAGTATGAGAGGGGAGTGTACGGAACAGAACCTCATGGATACAGTGGAGATAGAGATGTCGTGAAGCGACCAGTATCCGAGTATTCATTCGTATCACGCTGTACAGTTGCATCAGGACGGGGAAGGAGAACGAACAGGCTCTTGCATACATATGCGTACGACATCTGCAACGCATATAGTACCACTTCATACTCATCATACTATATATATATATAAAACACAATGATGTATAAATATAACAGTATAAGGCCGACCACGCCGGTGACACAATTCGTGCAACAAAATCAAAATTTTGACAATGAGTCCGCAACGGGAATAAAATATGGTGCGAATTTTTGGAAAGTGGATTCTTTTAACCTGTTTTGACAAAATCTAGGCCCCCAATTCTGTCAATATAGCGCAAAAAATCGTTCGCTCAATCTTTTTTTATATATCTGAAAACTTCCCGTGTCTACATTCTGTGTGGTTAATAATGATACGTTCTTTGATATTTAAGTGTTGGCGTAACTACGACTTTTGAGAAGTTCCGCACCCGTTTTAAGCTGAAAATCAAATTCACCAATAGACACGCAGTATTCCATTTGTTCCAGCAAATTTTTGAAACCTAAATTTTGTCACCGGTGTAGTCGGCCTAACAATATAATAACATAGGAATATATACAAACATATACATATACACAGACACATATAAATAAACATATACATACATACATACCACTGTACAATCCTGGTATTCCCTCGTATCGCGCTGTGCCGATAAGTGCCGGAAAAAACTTCCTGTACGAAATGGGATAGAAGAACGACGGAGGCTCTCGCATGCGTGTGCGTATTACCTCGTGTGGGTACGTTAACAGACAGGCAATTAACTTGGCACTCGCTGCTGCGCCCACAGTTTGAACGGCAACTGTATGGGAAAACGATGACGACAGATAGATCATGAGCATAAGACGAATACTTGAATGGGGTAGTGCGCATGAGTGTGTGATATTCTTGTGCATAGGAAGTAAAAATTCAGGCAGACATGAGCCAATGGAGGGTACACACGTGGTGCTATGTGTATGTGATGTGTACACTGCATATACACCTGTGGTGCTACGTGTATGTGATGTGTACACTGCATATACACGTGTTGTTGGGCCGTGGGTGTCCCACTGCATAGGTGGTAACTGCGTGGGAATAAGGTGGAGAAAAACGTATTGTCATTGCAATACTCGGCCATTCCTCTGCTTTCGGTATAGTGAAGAAAGCTCCTCGTGTATCTAAATTAGACAGTGACACGAACCATGACATATACTCGTAAAGATATTTAGATATACAGATCGATATATATATACATAAATATATTCCACCACACAATATCGGTGTATACACCTACCGTTGCTCTTCGAATGCTCGTCCAACCCCCTACTCTCATTATAGCCAGCAATAATCTTCTTGAGCTTCTCATAGATCACAAACTGTACTATAGTTTCACTTATCCCCGCATATGACGCAGTCAGCCCCCTGTAAAACCCTTTAACACCCCTTTCGGTATAGATTTCCTTCGCGCTGGCAATCATTCTGTGCGCTGTACTGGTGTTCTTTGTTTTAAGCTGCAAGTTATGGTGAAATTGCAATAAGAAGTCAGACAATAGACGACGAATACACGGAGCTAGGCCAACAGCAGGGCTGATATATGCTAGTATCAATGCTTTCCAATGCAAAAAACTAATTCCGAATTATATATATATACATAAAAAACCCATGGATACATACATACATATAGAACCATTACAACGGCATACATAACATACTTTCGTAGTGCTCAGCTGCATACGGGTCTTAACCACCCAGAGCGGATTTGTCAGTGTATTCGTTGTAAACCCCGACATGCTGGCACCAGCCATGTGTATGAACGGGCTGTCTTTCCCGCCATTTAAATGTGTGAACTCGTGCTTTGATCGCTGATAAATCATGAAGTAGCATGATCGGGCGGGTATGATGCCAATGAGGGCTGTAGAGGTGAAACCGCCTAGGAAGTTAGTATAGGCTAGCAACACCATCTAGTTCACGGACAGGGTTGTACAATGCCAGTCAGGGCTATAGTGGAGCCAGAACAAAGAGAGATGAGTTTGTGAAAGCGTTCAGGTGACACGTTTGGCGGTAAAGGGATGGTTCAGTGCACATGCATGCGCTATGTTGCTAACACTCCACGCCCTAGTGAACTACACTACATCACCAGCCCCGATTATTTCGGACATGCTACAGTCAGCAAGACGCAAACAAGCTGGTAACAGGCGCATTACAGGAGAACTCCCACACAAACATTCGCTGTGGTCAATGCATACCTCAACTCCAGCAAACTATTTACAAGACATGGAAGATAATCCTACGGCCACACAGGTGAGGGAAAAAATTGACCCATCGCCTAAAATCATATACCGAACTTTAAACACGCGCTTACGAATAGGAATAGGACACATAGGGCACAGTGAACTCATTCGGACTACATGAGCCCTGTGGGAACACAGTGATATCCCACAGCCGCCCACATAACCACAGATGAAGAGTTGCACACATGGAAATCCTACCCGATTCTCAAGGTAACCACATACATGGTGTATATCAAGGTCGCATTCCGACAGAAGTTTCTTACCCATACGTACATCTTAGTCAGAGATGCTCAGACATATATATTTAGTCTTGGATGCTCGTATATATACATATATATATGTACATACCTGGTGTAAGACCTTTGTAAAGTGCTCGGAAGCCCTCCTTATGATAGACTTCTTTCAGGAAAGGAAGAACGCCCAAGTGTTTACCGGACGCAAAGTTGTACTTGGTAGATTGTAATCGGGTCTTGACCACTTCCATTGGATTCGTGACACATGCTCCCATCATTCCACCCAGTCTAACGGTTGAAGGGATTGGTTGAGTGATACAGAAATTGAATTGATCAGCTACATGTGCATGTATACTATATACATATATATATATATACATATAGATGAATACAATATAGATCTAAATACGCCGCAGATGTGCGAGCGGTGACTGGAAGAGATCGTGTCCGCATATGCATTTCGAGGCATTCATTATATAATTAGAAAATGTATAAATCACAATATCAACAGTAACATACTTGTGGATAAATGCTATTATATTATCATAGACATATACTTCAGCATATGCATATACATTTATAAAAATAGACATGAACAGAAACACACACACACATATATATATCAATAGATATAGATATATATATATCAATATATATTTATATATAATGATGTATACATATGGATGCATAGTTACATATTTATGTGTATTTATGTAGATGTATACATGCACACATATATCAATATATACATATACATATAGGTGTATTTTATATATGTTTTTGTTTATATATTTATGTATGCATATTTACACGTGTATATGTGTATTTATGTAAATGTATATACACACACACACAAATATGTATATATATCTCAATATGTATATGTAAATATATATATATTATAGGCAATACGTACATGTTATATATATATACATATATAGATAAATATATTATTTATATATACATAACAGATACATAATATGCACACACACACACACACATATATATATATATATATATATAATATATATACACGTGTTTTAAAATACTTGAAAAATACTCGCACTCTCATGTTATTGTTTTCTGAGTACAATTATACTTTCAATTGCCTGCATTTATAACACATTATTTCGTACGCACAAACTTTAGTCCTAACAGCCAAAATATTCACAAAAAATTCAATTCCTGTCTGAGAACATATAAACTTATCCTGATACACAGTTGTATAAAATAAAGCGCTTGTATCCACGATTATATTTCTGTAGATGTAAGTAAACGTTCATATATCACCAGGTAGACTAAAGAGCCCATATGTTTCACACACAACAACATACCCTCCAGCGAATAGATGCACAGACGTGGGCGGCTTGGCTTTTGTTCTTTCTGCAATAATAGTATTTGCAGTTGCTTTCTTCTCCGGTGCTGGAGACCATGTTGCAACACCCCCGTTAACTGGTAAGTGCGCATGAGTTGCAGTGGAAGTGTGTGTTTGTGTGGCCATCTTAGAATATGATCAAATGAAAAATAATACTATAAAGCTGGTATGTATAAGTATACAGCTGGTATATATATATACTAATGTGTGTGCGCGTGTGTACACATAGACGTTTTCAGCGACTGTAGCACAGGCTACTCGTTGATAAAAATTCTATACCGAAAGTGATGAGCCCTCAGAGGTAGAACGAACACGAGCGATTCAAGGGAACCGCTACCTGTAGGAATCTATTTGTGACGGTGACGAACACTATATATGTGCTTGTTTCAAATAGCTGCGCTTCGAGAGCGATATCTTGTCAATATACAAGATTATGTAAAGGACGCTCTCTCTAAAGTCTATAGTAGTGTCTCTATCTCTCTACTCTACTAGTAGAGTGACCAGTCTATGTATAAATAAATACGACTCTCACTATAGTACACTCTCTCTACTCTAGTTAGAGAGAGACGCAGAGTGTCAGTTTCGAGTTCAGCCTTGCCGGGCAAACGTTCTACTATCTGATTATTGACAGTATTTCAATTATCTCCCCCACACATGTCAACGTGCCCATTGTCAGTTTTGTGACGTGTCATGCATTTTTTTCGCAGCGTAATCCTATTCTTTTTTTTTCCCGCAAAACAAACATTTGAATGTTTTCTCAGTCACAGTCCAGTACAACAGACTCACAGAATCACAAACTCACAGTGGACAAAAGATAAAAGCAAAATAAATAAATACAATTCAATATAAAACAATTTAAAAAAAACAAAATAAAAACAAAATGTTTGATTTGAGGGCGATTTGAAAAAAAATAAAGATGTATTAGACACAGTATGTATTTACAGATGTACATATTGTTGGTCTTTAAAAAAAAAGAGAATTATTTATGTGTATTTGTTTTTAAAAATGAATCAAAACGTCTTTATTTATTTATTCAGCTGGCTGCTGGACTCTCTTGGTTTATTCACGACAATTTGTTTTTGTTTCCGAGTGTTTGGTTTGGTCTTAAAAAATAAATAACACATGGCTATTTATGCTAAACTCAAAACTGTGGGGCCGTGGGGCGTGGGCTGTGGGCCTGTGCACTGTGCCTGTGAGACTTAAGCTCAATCCGTTAATGGTATACAGAATAAAGTTGAACGGAAACGTATACTGATTCGTTTTGAAAACGTTACAAAGTTTTCACAGGTCAAAATAGAATACGAAATTCTCAAATTTGCACTCAACATGTAAATCTAAATTCTAAAGAAATGAACTATATGGCAAATAGCAACTAATTAATATCTAGTATACAAATCATTGATTTCGACTGACAGGCGGGCCTGCCAGGTTTAAGACAAATTGATGGCCTTGAAATTGCACCACTTCAAATTTCATAGGGCTCTATACAGAATAAAAGTTGAACGGAACCGTTTACCGTTTCATTTTGAAAAAGTTAAAACGGGAAACTGAATGAGGTTAGTAATAAAATTAGTCTGTCAGACAGTGAAGAGTCTGTGACTCGGAAACTGAATCCTGACTCTCTGAGTGCGAGTAACTGTCTGTGTCAGTGACTACTGACTACATACTACATTGTGATATGTATTACATATTTACGAGTCGATGCCTCATGTATGTCCGACTCATATGGTCTTTGTCTATGTGACTGTATGGTCATTGACCAACCTCTATATATTTTATCAACCAATTAAACCTATCTTCCATTAAAAGTTTGTATGTACACGAATTAATTAAGTTTGTTTAAATATAAGCCATACAACTCATTTTTTGTATGTTTGTTGACTGAGTTTGAATTGTGGCATGATCAATGATGGAGTTGTGAACAATTTGCACAAGTTCGCCAATCGCCAGCCACCATTAATTCGAGAATATTTACATCGATATGATATACTAAATATAAATATATGTAT